AGTGTCGCATGACCAAATACTACAATTCGAGGGTGAAACCTTGCTCTTTCTTGCCTGGGAACTTATTCCTAAAAAAGTAATCCTATATACCAAGGACACTTGAGAAGTGAAGCTAGGCCCTAATTAGGAAGGACCTTCCATGGTGATAGAAGTTGTAAGACCAGACACCTATAGAATTCAGAACTCTAAAAAGAAAGCCTTGGCCCATCCATGGAATGTCGAACACCTGAAAAGGTTTTATCAATAATGGGGTGCAAGCCAGTGACTTTCATTTTATTTGTCTTTTGTTGGTTCAACAATTCCTTTTGTTATCTGTTATTTTAAATTATGAAATAAAACTTTGAAAGAGTTATTTTGTCTAAAACTATCTTTCATTTCATAGAAGTTTGTAAACAACTTACAAAAGTCAGAACATGACCTAACAACAAAAAGGTAAAAAAAAGATAAAAGTCGTCATACTCCCGACGATCACTCATTGCTCCCTGATCCGTTCTCATCAAAACTCGCCCCCGTAACCATTCGTCCCTGATACCTCATATGGGACGAAGCCAAAAAAGTCAATAGTAGGGAAAGCTACTAAGGCCTTCACCCTAAACTCCTCATAACCATCAATAAAAGCACCTGCAACGGCACTCTCAGTAGCCTCCCTCCTCCTCTCCATTTCAATGGAATAAACCTCTGCCCTGATGGCTCTCTCACAAGCTACTTGCACGTCAGTCTCTGCCACGTCAGCCTTCTCACAAGCTATCCATAGCTCGGCCTCAGATCCTATGGCCCTCTCGCGGGACGCTTGCAGCTCTGACTCTTCTCTTGTGCAGACAGTCTACCTATCAGCTTCCAACTTCACAGCCCTTTCGTGGGATGCCGAAAGCTAGGCCTCAGGAGGTGCAACTCTCTCGTGAGCTAGCCTCAATTACTCCTCAGTAGCCTCTCGTGCCAGTCTCTCTTCTGCCAGAGCCTTTGATGCCTCGCCAAGCTTGATCATCCTAGAACAAAGTTAGGGAAAGGCAACTGCCACCTACAAGCATCCAAAAGGCAGAACATAAAAAAAGGGCAAGTGCAAAAATCAAGGTTGGATAGAAAGAAATTATACCATAAGGAATTCCTCCATCGTAGTATCTATAATGCTCTCTGGACCTCGAGAGTTGACCTCCCTAATATCCACAGCTGTTTCAAAGTTGTAAAGCCACTCCTTGGCTAGATTCACGTTCTGCAGCATGGACACTGAGCCACTACTAGAAGCTAGATAGTTATGTGGAGCTCTAGCCATCGTAGAAGACTGCACAGGAGTTGTAACTCCTAAAGTGATACCGAGTGCCTAACGAGCCCCATGTTAAGAAGGGGTAGGGGCACCACCAGATCCCGTCTCTCGGGAAACAATAGGACCATCGGACCTTGGCCCAGAAGCACTAGAGGCGTCAGGTTTTGCCTTCTTGGGAAGAGGGGAAAACGCCACCCTAGAAGCGTAGAGAGCCTCCACTACCACTCTATCAACAATAGCACCTATGGAATTGGCGTAAGAAGAGTTTATAGTCATCATGTTTATTGAAAAGATCAAATATCTTTCCTCTTCTATCTAGAGGAGGCTCTAAAGTGACCTGGCGTAGACATAAGGGCCACAAATATCTTGGTAGGATGATCCCTCACAACCTGTAGCCTGTTTTATTGCTCCGTAGATAATACGGGTGAAGTTGCAAAGGAACCAAACATACAGTGAATACAAGAGACTTGATAGTCGGTCATAAAAAGCAAGGGTAAAACTAATACCTAGCTTGGTCCTTGGAAGACTATCCCACCTTAAGGGCACCAAGTCACGGTCTTCCTCGGTAGCCCACTCACCACCAATGAAGAAAAACTTGAATTTTCAACTATGATAGTTCATCCAGTAATCAACTTGCCTGAACTCAGAGCAAAGTGGGACCATCCCTGATGAGGAGTAGGATTATCCAAAAGCACGTACGAGTCCAGGAACTCCTCGAAAGGGGAGAGATACCCTCGCCATGGACCAACCTCCATAATGAAAAAAAAGCCAAAAGTACCCTTCAACCATTGGGAGTCAACCTCCTTGGAGCCAGCGATAAGTGACCCAGGATCCTACATATGGGTATGGGCACAGGAAACCTCAGTCTCGCCTCTAATATGTCCTCAAAGAAAATGATATCTCTAGAAGAATCAAAGCACGTCGGTTCATCCTTCTCAGCCCGATGACACATAATAGCGGGAGGGATATGGAACGAAGATACAATGCGAGCCAGGTCATCATCACAATCTATGGCACCAAAATTAGAGGCTACCTTCGACTTGTCATTTTCAGCGACCTTTTTACCTCTGTGTGAAGCTTGTGTAACATCCGTCGTAATACCCCTACTAGATCGAGCACCTGACAAAACAAAGAGCCAATAAAAAAAGAGAAGGGGCGCCAAAATTAACGAAAAGTTAAAGGATGAACAAGTTACCTAGTTGAGAGGCACACCTGGTTGCTCTCCCGATGCCAGATAGTTGCCTAGAGTCCAGATTGTCAGCTCCAACTCCAGCCACGCCAACAGGCGGCTCTCCTGCACTTAGCCTCCCTGTACCTATGTCCAATCTGTATCTGACCCGATCTATCGTGAAGCCCATGGTCGTCGTCACCACCATTGGTGCCACATGGACCAGCGCCGCCCAACCGACAGCCTCTATCACCCAGCACCTCCTTGGCACAACACATGTCCCAGGCGTTGCCAAGCATGATGCTGGTGCCGCCCAATTGTCCTCCTACGTTGCCCAACCCATTGGCGCCCTGCCTGCCGTGAGCATGACCCACACCCAGCCTGTTGCCGCTGGCGCTGCCATGAGAACCTACTGCACTTGGTATTGCCCTTGGATTCGCCATGGCATCGCCCTGGGCTTTGCCAAAGCGACGACAGTCCCTAACTTCGCCACTGTGGTGTCACCTAGGGTTTCACTTGCCTCCGTCAACCGCTCTCTTGTCTCCATGCCTTACCTTCCTCGTGAGCTTTTCTCTCTACAATTTATGAGGGTGAGAAAATGGGGAATGACGAAGAGGTGTGGATAGCCCTTGGGTATTGTATATATGTTGTCCAATAAAGCATGCCCTAAGTGAAAGAAGGATCTTTAGCTAATGGGAAACCCAGAAGAGGAGATTGGATGCTAGGAAGATGAGATTAGGTGATAATGCAATGGTTTTCCAACTACGGTGTTATCAAATGAAAAAGCTTCATAAATGCAGAGGGATGAAGAAACTATCGTGGGGAACAAGAAACTTGGTCTACCTAAATGAAAGAGCTCACTCATGCCCTCAACCTCGTATTACCACAACAGCTTGAGGGCATGGGCGGCAAATAATGAGCTCAGATCCAGTTGGGTCTAGGCCCAACTTATGGGTTAAGCCCAAATAGTAAGAAAAACAGGTCAAGCTCAGCTCATGGTCTCAGCCCAATCCAAAGTTCAAGAGACCCAGAAAGATCAACACACATGGGGAGCAATCATCTGGATAGTCACTGCTCCAAGATAGCGCCTATTCTTAATTATAAACATCCTTAATTGTAACTATTCTCCTCGAAAGACTAGTAGCCTGATCTTCACGGCACCGCCTCAATTATGGCTATGTGTTTATAAATTGTAAGCCCTCTACACATGAGGGATATCTCACACCACATCTTGAGCCTACCTTTGCTCTCTCTCTCTCTCTCTCTCTCTCTCTCTCTCTCTCTCTCTCTCCTACTACTTTAATCTCTCATTAATAAAGTTATCCCGCCACAACACCCAATCTTTGGCTCTTATTGTTAATTGTTTTATTAATTACTCCATCAATTGTCTTGCATCATACACTCGACTAATTTAATTATACATAAACTATTTTGTGCATCATCAATTAACACTTATTCTTTGTTAAACAAAAAAGAAAAAAGAAAAAAGAAAGGTTAATTGTGACAATGTTTTCCATCATTTCCTAGCACAGGCAAACTAAAAGGCAGCTGTCCCTTTAGATAACACATCAGTGGCGTGATATCAATAATGTTGTTTCAAGTTTTGGTGGCAGTCTATAGAACTTCTATAAGTCCCTGTCCATTTCATAATAGCATATATAAGAGCTTAATGTAGAGAGACATACCAAGTTGCAATCTATAGAGATATTATATGGTCCATTGAAATCTATCAATATCCATAGAATATGGATAAAGATGATAATAACATTTACGATAATTTATTTTTTACTCGTGTATTTTTTTACCTTATAAATAGGGTTGCATGCATTGTATTCAATCACCGTAAATAAGACATCGGATGTAGGCCTTTTATCAATTGCCAATTGAATAGCTGAGGATGCTCAATAGTTGTACGTACTATTCCCAACCAAACAGATTGCCCCTACAACACCAACATCAGGATATAAAATGTATATATATACTCTTACATATTTGTATTTCTAAATACTACACTGGTTCAATATGCATAGCTGCATGTTCATTCTTTTATATGCAGACTTGGCCTGTATGAATCGATTCTAAATCAACCCTGTTTGAATGAGAATTAAAACCTGATCATAACTGTTTGTATGGTAGCGAAAAGCCTCCAAAATAACTGCAACACAGGTTTGGAACTGTGGAAAAATGGCCAAAGACTGGACTCAAGATGAAGTATATTCAAACAAACATTTCCACAGAATCATTGGGCAGTTTTCGACAGGATTAACATCCAACATAGATAGACACTTAAAATCTAGATACGACAATCAATAAACAAATAAAACAGTCTCATTAATAATAGGAAAACCAGGAGCTTGCCTTTTTCATATAATATATGGTATTTATGAATTAAAAACAGTTAACCCACATACTGCCAGCGCTGTCATAAGTCAGAAAACAAATGCAGACTAAAAATTATAAGTAAGAAGTCACAAAAATTCCAAGCATAGAATCTACTAATATGATGCACTCTATTTTCTGGAAAAACAGAAGACCATCAAATAGGACAATTAAATAATCAGGAATGAATGCATAAAACTAACTGAAATTACAAAATAAAATGTTTTTGGGGCAGTGATGGTAGAAGTGGTTGCCAAAGTAGTGGTAATCAAGAAAATTACATCATTCCTGTGCTTCACTATACATTTCTTCCATCATTGCCCACCAAAATGAATTAAATTTTTTTGAACATGTTTTCTTACTTTACCTCAAATTATCATTAGAAGTTGTGCTGCAAGAACAAGTGTTCTTGAGGAGAAGCTGGCCCAATTTCTTCTTCCAAACTTCTCAATCCATCACCAACACTTCCTGCATTTCCCAAGTTTCTGGCTTCCGAGTTCTTTCCATCAACATCGGCATCTGAAACTGAGGACTTCCTCCTTTGAGATGAAGCAACACTTGGAAAAGTGATCCACGAAGGTGCCCTGAATTCAAACCTTTGGTCTTCGGAATCAACCACATCAGTTTCCGAGGCTGACCGGTTAGACGATCTTTCAGATGACTTTTTGTGCATTCTACTGCTTCCCAACACCACCGCCGTTGGCAAAATAGGTTGCTCATTACTGGGGTTACCCATCAATAGTGCAAGTGCTCGCTCCAAAGCTGTTGTGACCTTATCCATTGATGGTCTCTCTTTTCCTCTCATTCTTACACATTTACTAGCCACATTGGCAATCTTTTTCAGAGCATCAAGATCAGACGGGGGTTTTAAAACAGGATCCAAAATCACTTGTATAACTCCAGACTTGATTAAAGGAACTGCCCATTCAACTACATTTCCTTCTTCGTATTGCATATCAATGGCTTTCCGACCACTGAGAATTTCCAAAAGTAAAACACCAAAGCTGTAGACATCAGATTTGGTTGTAAGGTAATGAAGTCTATAATACTCAGGGTCAAGATACCCAAGAGTCCCCGCTGGAAGCTCAGCCAGAGGAGAGCTACTATTGGCAGGTCCCAATAAAGACAGACCAAAATCAGCTACACGAGCATTGTGTTCTTCATCAATAAGAATGTTAGAAGACTTTATGTCTCGGTGAATCACAGGAGGGCAAGCATATCCATGCAAGTATTCAATCCCCCGAGCCGCTTGGACTGCTATAGTAACCCTCCTTACCCAATCTAATTGCTCTTTTAAGGCCGTGTTCTTGCCATGGAGGTGTTGATGCAACGAGCCATTAGCCATGAACTCGTAAACAAGAAGCCTTTCTTCACCTTCTTCACAATAGCCGAGTAGGTTGAGCAAATGGGCATGATTCAACCTTGAAAGGAGATCTAGCTCAGTGCGGAACTCTTTCGCATTCTTTTTCATGTCTGGAGAAATAATAGCTCTTTTAACTGCTACAATTGTTCCGTCCTTCAAGACCCCTTTAAAGACACATGAAAAACTTCCCTTTCCCACTTGAGATTCCTCTTTAAACCCACTAGTGGCTCTCTCAAGTTCCCCATAGGTAAACATTTGAGCTCTACTGATTTTAAACTCATCCAAGTCGGACCGAACTTTACCACTCTCTTTTTGAAAAGAACCATTCCCACCACTTTCTTTGGATTTCAAGCCTTTAACTGAGCACCTGCAGTTCCGTAACTTATAGCGAACGTATATTATTGCAGACAAAGATACAACACCCGCCAAGAACACGACAAAAGCAATCTCTGCAACAATGACTGGCAATTGAAGTGACCAACTCCTTCCATTCTTCTTTCCAACAGTAGCATTGGAATAAGAACAATTAGAAAAACATTCGGCCGAGATGCAACTTGAACAATTGTATGCGCAGTGTCTGTCAGCCATTGAAGTGCATTCAGCATTCGGGTACATTTCGGCAGGACAACCGGTGCTGCAGGGCAAGCAAATACGAGAATCAGGAGACAGGCAAGGTTTACTTCCATTGCTAAATTCATAGAAGCCTGTCGAGCAGGAATTAGGCTTGCAGAGTCCAGGAGAAACTGCTAATGGTAGGGAGGACGGAAAATCAACACCCCAACAAACAGGTAGCAGAGATGTTTCAGCTAGAACTCCACAAGTGAAATAGTCGCCAGCTGCAATACCATAAAGCCTAATGCCACTGGGTGGTGGGGTACTTCTCTCGACGTGATAACCCCAACAAACCACTCCATGATCATAGCTCCTGATTCCACAAGCGTGGAACCGTCCACCCACTACCAAAAGCATCGGGTCACTTGGAGCCAAGTCCACATTGGCCAGCCCCGAATGTACAACAGAAATTTCTTCTTCAAGGTCCAAGCTCCTTCCCCAACAAAAAGCCCTTGTATTCACCCCCTCCAAAATCCCACAGACATGGAAACCGCCAGCTGCAATCTTCTGAAACCTCATCTCCTTGGGAATTAGACTAATTACCCGGCTACTAGTCTCATCACCCCAACAAAATACACTCTTATTCTGGGAAAACAATCCACAGTTGAACTCAGAACCAGCTGAGATAGACTGCATCTGCCCATCGAACACATAGTTTGTAGTCATATTGTAACCCCAACAATCAACAAGAGAAGTGTTTCTGTGCTTTCCCATTAAGGGTTTTCTCAAACCGCACAAATGGTGATCGCCTGCACTAATTTCCAAGTATTCAGAACCATTAACCATGGGTTGAGGAACACCCATTTGAATAAAACTACTACTTCCCCAACAATACGGTTCGTTTGAATCCATCAAAAGTCCACACACAAAGCCGTTACCTGCGGTTAATCCAGTAAAAGGGAATGAACTGGAGTTCCATAGATAATAGCTGAATTTGATCCATAGCAGGTTACAAGATGAGAACCATCTGATTTCAGGCCACAGAAAACAGGACCATACTCTCCATATGAAATGGCAATGGAAGCTATGGAGCCTAGACCTAAAACCCAACCCCATAAATCTAAAATCACCAAGAAGATTATGGTTTCTACAAGAAATCTAGGTTTGCTAGAGTGAACCCTCAAGACCCAAATGACACAATCTGTAACTAAAAACTTCAAAAAATCCATTACAAAAGCCAAACCAACTATCCAAAACAAACTCCAATCCCCACTAAAGGTTCCAGACACCCAGTTATGCTTCCAGCTTGCATTAACAAAGATTCCATTTCCAGGATGACAGCTTGCCCAGACAGCTATCTAAACCACAGGAACTCCTTTCTGTTCCCCTCTTTTTAGAACGTTGACATGGAAATTGCTAAAGCAGTGTAGATAAATGTCCATCACTAAACAGTTTTAAGAGGAGAAACAGTAATCAGAAGCACATATCAGAGGCTTGTAAAACAGACAAACTTACCGAGACTCAGGATCAAAAGCGTTGGGGTCTCTGTCCAATCTCAACCAAGAAAATAGCACCCAAAACACGCAACTATATTCTCAGCTATTCCTCACCAATAACCTTGTGAGAAGTTCAGGGTTCTTCATATCTCTCTGTCCAAAGAAAACCTTCAAACCCAGAAACTGCAAAATGGGATATCTGCAGCTTTGGATCAAGAGAGACACTCTAGATAGATGATCGAGCCAGTAAATATGTTCCTTTGAAGTTCATTCATAGCTTTGGCTCATTTCCTTGCTCTTCGACCAACTTTGGACAGTGTTGGTGGATAGTGAAATGGCCAAAAGGGTAGTGGAATTGTTGCAGTTTGCTGGAATAGTATCCAAGAATGAAACGGTGAGGGTGAAGGTGATGAGAGAGAGAGAGAGAGAGAGAGCAGTGGGTATTAAATGCAATGAAACTGCAGCTTCTCAAAATGGTTTAGTGCAGGTGAAGGCATTAAATGAGAAGTTAATGCAAAATTGATCTTTTCATGCCTGAATTTCTGCACACATGTCCACTATTTGGATTCTCATCTCGTGCAGTTTGGTGTAACATTTTGTTTCCATGCAGTCTTCGCATCCTGTTTAACTTCTTTTTTTTTTTTTTTTTTTGTGGCTGAAAATGGATATGCACGCTAGTTCAGATGCCCCTCAGTATCATAGAGTTATTTGTATACTTGATCAAATTGGGATCAAATTTAGAGTTCAAACAACACGACAATTGACTTGGATTTTTTTAATTGATGTCATGTCATTTGCACCCAATAAAAATTTCAAATAATCAAATGTCATATCATTTGCACTCTAAATTTAATCTTAAAATTTATTCAATGTAACATTAATCATTTGTAGATCTTATTACACTTACGGCCGAACCAAAGTTAATATGTCATCTCATGGTATGGGCATTGAAGAATAAATTTAATCATAACAAATTGTCGTAGTTATTAAAAATTCAAACCCAAATATTAAGCGAAAAAATCTAAATTCTTGCCACTAGACCAATTGGTACTTCTTGGTTAAATTTCAGTTTAGTTTTTCACATTGAATTGCCTCACTACACTTCTTTTTTCATATTTTGTTTTAGTCTCAGCAGTACAGTGATATATACGTTTGTTTACATGCTTAATCTTTGTTTATCTTGTCTTTTTTTCTATTTTCACTTTATTTTGTTTTATGGGTTCTGACGCCTGTAAATAGCAGAGAAGCCTCCTAACTAACCACCGGTAAATTCTTTCTGTAAATAGCAGAGATATATACTCTTGCGCTATTGCCTTTGTTTTAGATTGTCTCTTGAACTTTCAATTGTCTAAATTTATCTCCTAAACTATAACATTTATTTTAATCCATCCCTTTAGTTAAGATTAATCCGATATCTTATCCATTAAATGAAACAAATTATGTTATGATTTATTGTTAATCTATTTCATTTAATGATTAATCTTAACAGAAGGGATCGATTGAAACAAATTCCATGGTTCATAGGGAAAATTGAAACAATTAAAGCTTTAAGGGGCAATTTCAAACAAATATCATAGTTAAGGGGATATTTATGAGATTTATGCTTAAGTAGAAGGAAAAATCTAATTTATCCACTTTTGGTTTATGACCATTTACACTTTGTCCCCTTTATAGTATAAAAACAATTACATAACTCTCAAATGTTTTTGGACTAATCTGCACCACTAATGCCGTTAACAGAAATTATTAAATTACTTCAACACCCTCGTTGTCTTTTTTGTTGCAAAAAAAGAGAATATCTGTCAACAAAACTTGCAACACAAAATTTGCAACTCTTTCTACCGATAGCGCATCGTCGGTGGCCACCCAAAAGAACACACCCAACCGAGCAAAACCACATCCTGCAATGACACAAGCCAGTAGCCCCTTTAATCATTTTACCCAATGCTTTGTGGATTTGGTTACTGACTACATCATTCTGAGTGAAGGGGTTCAAAAACTTTGAACCATTATTTGACAATTAAACCTAGTCACGTGGTAAAAAATACGTGTGCATATGAAGACTCAATTGAACAGACTGTGAATTGGCTGAGTAGATTGAATGAAAGCCCGAGCAAAAAGATATTAATCGAAAATGTTCTGCTTAGTAGAAAAACATTTTTCGAATAGGGAAGTGTGTGTCAAAAAGAGCTTAATGAAGTCTTAGAGCAAGACTAAAATTCGAATTAGAATTTAACTCTATCTCCAAGTGATACAACCTTATTTGACCAGAGTAGATAGCTAGGCTATCCTTAAAAACCCAAGGCGGTTAAAGAGATAAGACCTTTATCATTGATAAGATGCACATTAAATATGTGATCTATAACATCGATTAATAAAATGGATCAAAAAATTAGACTGATGAGTATCTGGCTAGGCTCGGGTGTGGCACCTTTTCGTACCAGGATTTTGAGCCCGACCAGGTTGGGGATACGATCATATAAATAGTAGATAAGCTTAAGTCTTAAGGAAAGAACTTCTTCCCTACAATTTGTTTGCTCTAGTTCAAAATGCTTTATAACGTAAGCGTCAGAGTACCTCCGGTTGGTCAATCCCCAGTCCCTGATAAATTGTTCATTTTATAGGAAAGAGGCGCACTTTGTTCGTTCTCTAAAATAAAAAATCACACTCTCAACTTCCATGTCATCATCTTTATTAGGTATGAAATTTTTTCCCTCGTACATTGAGAGACTACAAACGTTAAGGCATATCTTATTGAATATATGATACAACTATGATTTTGAAGTGCATTTGACTATCGCTCACTGAGAAGGAGTCTTGTATTTGAGATGTCGATGATGTTAAAACTCAAAAGTGTGAGGCAATGGTTTGAACTGAGAAGCCCAAGACTTAGAACAGTGGCTTGTGAGATGAATAATATATGAGAAATCGATGTGTGGCTAAGCCTGAATGCTTTGTAAAATGCTACAAGAAACGTAGAATAGAGGGAAGAGCTAGAGATTGAAAGAGAACAACAGACTATAGTGGTTCACCAACTGAAGAGCTTGGCTAATCCACTCTAACGGAGTCTCTTTTCCCTTGGGAGGTTTTCTATTGCTTGAGGAAGAGATAAGGGTTATAATTGCAGATATTATGATTTGTCTGTCTGTACATGGGTGATTGCCCATGCATTATATTCACATGTGGGGTGATCCTCACGTCATCATCATATGGTCCCCTGTTTGTTAGAATTTTGTTAGGGGAATATTTGTCATTAGAAGCTACATTCCCTAGG